AGCCTTTTGGTTTGCAGAGGTGGGGCGGTGATGAAGAGGGCTGTATTTGATAATGTTAAGTATCACATCTCAGTGGAAATATTAAGTAGGCAGCTGAATATAGGACTCTGGACTTCAAGTTGGTCTTTAGCACGTGGAGACTACATAAAGCTGTGTAATCAGAAGGGATCACAGAGAAGGAGAATTAAAAAAAAAATGAGGGCACCCGCCTTGTGACATTTACGTTGAAGGTCTATATAGCATTGTGTTATGGGGTTATATAGAATTTGCATCCTTCCCAGGATTACTTAATATGTGTAATAGAGAAAATGCATTTCAAATTCTAAGGAACAGAGATAAAACATATTTCTAAGCACTAGAATTTTTCATGTGGGGAACAGCCAGCAGGACCACGGGTTTATATTAGGTAGAATCACTCTGATGCTTTGAAAGAATTTAAATTCATATAAAAGAGAGCATGTCTTACACATCAATAACTGTAGCTGGTTATCTTGATTACTTGGAACCTACAGACCAGGATTCTCTAAAATCAATCTGACTCGATTATTTCTACCCAGTTATTTCACTGGGTTTATGTGACTTTATGTAACTGCTGCCAACATGTCAGTTTTGATTTGATACAAAGTGTAAAAGTCTTTTCCTTGCTTTATGAGGAAAAAAAGAAAAGAAAAACTTATAAGAAAAAGTGTGTTCTTATTTTTAGCAATCTAAAACATATGGCCATAGAAACATATGGTTTGCCTGTAAAATTGTAAGGGAGAATGAATTCTAAAGAATCAGTCACTGAGACAATAACTAAAATTTTACTAATTGAATCACTATTTAATTGTTAAACTATATTAAATATTTACATTTTTGGTAGTTATGGAAGGCAGGCAAAAGGAAAGATTTAAAAAGTTACAGAAGTATGTTTCATAAAAGGTGGTGTTGCCCCAGTGTCCAGTGGTTCTAACATTTCCAGAAAAGACTACCTACACAGAAGAGCAAAAACTCAAAACTCATTACATATATATCTTGCCACAAAAATTCTTCTATAATCTGCTTTGGTATCTGAGCTGTGTTGAAGTCAGTTATTTGTACATTCTGTGGCTTCAGTTATTTCTTTGTAAGTCGGCTCCCAGACTTCTGAGAACTGAATGTTGGCCAGGACTGAGTCAAGTTTTCCTACCTTTTTGAATGAATTTGATTTCTGTGTACTTCTCAAAAATACAAGGCCAGTTTGGTCACAATAGGGCGTCAGAGTTGGATTTCAAAAGACTATCAGATATTCTTTGGGATCCTTTATCACCAGGCCTCTCACACCACATTGCTCTGAATATTCCCTGGTCTGACCCAGCCCCAGTCCCTCTCGATCCTCACCCACCACTCCTACTGGGCCCTCTGAATCTCCTATTCTTGATTACAAAACCCTATGCATACAATCTCCTCCAAACTTCCTTTCTTCCTCTTGTTGTAACTGAAACCTGATAGGCCAGAACCAGTGAGTCTAACATCTACCCTACATCCCACTCACCAGAAGGCTGTTTCTTAACTCATACGCCCAGGTATCTCTTGGCACTGTAAGAAATTATTTCGCATCGAATTTTCCATATGTCCTTCCGGACTTACACTCTTAGGGGATCTTGTACATTTGGGTAGCGTATCAATTTAGCAGCATTCTTACTTGCTATGATTTAGCCATTCTAGTAGCACCCGGAAATGCAGATTCATTTTAGAGTTTTCAGGAGGCTGGTTACAGTTTTATGAGAGTTCTTTCATTTTCCCATAGGACTGCATTTAGAAACACAGCAATTTTAGCTAATCTTTTAAATTAGTAGTCAGGATCTATTAGCTCATGACTAGTTGACTTCTTATATTGACTTATATTACAAGTGGAATAACTGATTGATTAATTCAATTATTTATGAACTTATATATACTAAGTCCACACACAAGCTGGGCACTAGGAAATGCCTTCAGGAGGAGATCTACACATCTATACAAACAAGAACACAAGTTATTAATTATAAATGGCAATTAACACAAAACATTATTTAATTCTGTATGCACTCCCTAGGAAAAGTCCATTCTGCAATGCTCAGGGTGGGAGGAGGTAGAATTTAAAGGGGATCAAACTTGTTAAGAATGGATGCTTCTGGGAAAAAGAAAACAGAAAATTAGATGAGAGCAAAGAAAGTTTCACCAGCTTTTCCCCTTCTGTTAATATGTACCAGTGACTGATGCCCAAGTAGCCCCTGCATTATGGCAGATCGGGTATATGAAAATGGGTTTATTTTTCAATTAAATAAAGGGAATAGTTTTAGTTTTGCCTGGCTTAAAAAGAGTGCTGGCAGTCCCAGCTATGAGTTTTCATATATCGTTTCTGCCCACTTACTATGATGCTGGTGGTAATGCCTACAAGTAAGTGGCTTGTGGATTCAGAACATACTGGCTTTCTGCTCCGCGTTCGCAGCCTTGGGAGACACAGTAGGGTTGCTTACTGGTCTGTAAACAGAAGCCTAGGGGCTAAGCGCTTTGATCCAACAACTCTCCTTTCGTTCTTGGAGTTTCATCAATGTTTTCCAGGTTTTTACATATGGCTTTTTCTCCTTACTCAGGATTTATTAGGCAAATACTCTTTTTAAATTCAGTGAATGAATAATTCTTTTGTTTTCTATTGTTCTTGAAAGTAGAGATAGCATTTCTTGACTCCGTTCAATTTAACTGGTCAGAAAAAAAAAGTTGTAATTATGGGTACCTGACTCAGTGCTGAATAACACCAACCAGAGGGACATTGTTCTGGTTTTGATTTCAAAGCAATCACTGAGTAAGTCTCCTTTGAGTTGCACCATGAATCAGCATTTAGCAAAGCTGAGTTTAAACCTCTACCCCAGATTCTGAGTGACAGAGAACTTCTAAATAGGGCACTGTTTGTTCATAGTTTTAGGTATCTGTGATTTACTTGGCTGTGTTAGACAATAGGGGCTTTGGTTCAGTTATATTTTTAACATTCCTTAAAATAAATCAAAGAGTGTTCCCATTTTGGATGAGGATTAGCATGGTGGAGGAAATGAAGAATTTTTACAAGTGCCGAGTATCCAGGGATTATGTGCTGGGCTCTGGGCTGGGCTGCCTTGGTTAATACTTTCTTGGTTGCATGTAATAGAAACTGGCTCTGGCTAGCTTCAGGGAAAAAAGTAAGTGGTGTTGGCATATTGGAAGAATATTTGGGTAGCTCAGAATCCAAGATTCAGGAATGGCAGCGATCAGGCGACTTCTGACCTCAGAAGTAGAGTTCATGTCCGTCACCCGAGGGTAAGCAGTGGAAGTGTCTCAGCACACGACTCTTCACAGGGGGCCCAGTCGGCCTTCACCTGTGGATCCATCCATCAGTCAGCGTCAGAGGGGCAGATGTTTTTTGTGGGCAGTTCTAGGGAAAGGGGGCTTACTGTGAACCGGTGGCCACATCAGCAGGGTCTTACCTTAATGGGGCAATTTACAAGTTTAATTTAATTTTCACAAAAAGCCTCTAAAAATCACTATTTCCACCTCACACACGAGAAAGCAGACTCAAATTGGTTGGGCAACGTGTCCCACAAGCTAGAATGAGGCAGGGCTAGCATTCCAACTAGGCTTACAAGAGGGATTGAAGGTTCTTTCTTAAAAGATTCAAATAATGTGAAAAGACTACATGGGATAAAAGCTTCCAGATAATTTATTATGGAGAGAATATTAGTTATCTCCAGGGTATTAGAAAGAGTAAAGCTGCCCGGTGGAAGCTCTGGGCTGGAATCTCAGCTCCACCTGGTCATCACGGGCAGGTGAACATCTAATCGTCTCCACTAATGAACGCAGAGCCATCATCTCCTTCACGGGGTTATTTTAACTTCACAGGGTTCTTGAGATACCATGTGAGAATACTTGGCACAAAGCAGATTCTCAGTTTCTGGGGAGGAAAGAACTCTTCTAATGATGAACCTTCCAGTACGCCGCTAACAACGGAGTCGCAGTTTGATAGTGGCTCAGTCATTCAAAAAAAATCTAATTACCTCTTACCCTCAGTCTTTCAAACATGGGGCCTTGTTCACCGAAACATCAAGATAGAAAATGCTAGATAAAAAGAGTTAAGGAAATAACACAATAAGGCCGGGAAAGTTTTAGATACAAAACATTTGACAACTTTGAGACTTTGGGCTCACATTTCAGGGAAAATCTCTTACCTTTGGTCAGAGCACAATTCTTATTCATCTAATTCCCTTAGTGAATGCCACCTGAGATGGTCTATGTCCTTGTGACAACCAGGACAAAAGCAGCATACAGTTCTTAATATAGAAATCTGTAACTCGAAACATCACTGAAGCAGATTATTAGTTAACTTAGTTTGGAAGGATTAATGTATCAAATAATCCTCTATGTCCAGATGATTAATCTCAGCTATCTTTAAGGACAGCTCTGTGCGGAAAAAGTATCGTAGCAATCCAAGAAATTTATTATTGTGCATGGTGGGTGTTCTGCAAATATTCACAGACTGATCAGTATCAATTTGTTACACATTACTTCAGACAATTATTCTATGTCAGTAGCAAAGTTGGAACCTCAAATGAAAGCAGAAGGTATCATTCTGTGAAAGAGAGGTTTAGACTATGACATTCTCTTGATACCATCATTATGTCTGGATCTTAGTTCCGGTGACCTGGTATGTTTCATTTTCATCTAAATAGTATCAGAATTACTTGTAAAATATCCTGTTATTTAAAATTTGATGACAAAGAGTCGACTGATTTTAAATATGACCATAACATTATGTTGTTGTTCCTGAATTAAAAGCCCTTTCTCCCTTTATTTAAATTCGCAAGATAAATAAATCTAAGTAGTTATTATCATTTAAAGATTCTTGGTAAATATTGTAAGTATTTAGGGGGAGGTATATATTAAAAACATCATCTATGGCTACAGAAGTTTGAGTAAGGAAAAAATTTAAAGAATAATTTTTAAAAAGGGATTAAAGAATAATAACCAAATCACTTTTGAAGCTTTTTATTATGTGAGAAATCCCAGAAAAGTACAAAGCCCATGAAACTAGGAGCATTTCAGAAAACAAGACATTTGCATACATTTTTAATGACAGTATTTTAGTTTTGATCTTAAAAAAAAAAAAACCTTATGATTTTACATTGAAGCATACCGCTCATGAATTAAGTACATTCTGAAATACTGGGGAAGGATTTCCCATCTCTCATATTTGAACCTGAATTCCTACAAACAGGTATATTAGACTCTCTTTTTAGAGATTAAGTTCATGGTATGATTCATAAGAAAAATGATATTATTGATTCATAGTGACTTGAAGAGCAGAAATAGGAAGTAAGCATATAACACACATCTATGCCTTTCAGTGATACATCAGATCAAAGTTGAATTAATTAAATAATCTTTAGTGTTTTTAATTATTATCAATGAAAATACATAGAGCCCACTGCAGAAGAGAGGTCTCGTAATATCAGAATGATTTGCTGTCGTGTCAGTGTTTCATATTTAAGTTACATAAATAGGTGATGTTGAAAACCATGCTGTTTCTACCCTCAAAATCAAATGAATGTATGATTACATTCTAGAATCTTATCAAGAGTCACTGTGAAACAACACGTATAGATACTCACTACTTTTGCCAAATACAATGTAACAGGCCACCAGAGGCCATAACGGTACTTTTAACTTCTGGTAATGTGGCAATTTTCAGTGGTTTCAGGGTCCCGCCTTACTTTCTGTTGTTGCTATTACTACTAGTAATAAAATGATAGTAAAGGGAAAGGAGAAGGAGAAAAACAAAAGAAAATAAATTAAACCTCTTGTAGTTTTTCTAAATATTGTTTTGGTTTATCGTTCGAGTGGAAATCAATTTTCCAAGGTTTGGAAAGAAAACAAAAGCATCTTTACAATTCACAGCGTGTGTTTCAGGGGTCTCGGGATTTACTGTTGCCGGCGTGGCTAGCTTGCCATGCTCCCCTCACTCCAAGTCGGCTGGTTCAGTGGCTATCAGGGCACTTAACTGTTTCTGTGCACAGGAGAGGAACAGTTCCAAGCTGGACAGGCTCCTCTGGCGGATGACTTGATCAAGCTGTTGATTTTTTAAAGAGAGAGAGAGAGAAAGAGAAAAAGAATGTACTTATTTGAGGGATAAAGAAAATGATGTCACTGAAGCCCTCTAGAGAAACCTTTTCAGACGATGTTTTAAGAAAGTCAAATAGGGCTTCAAACTCAGAGACAGTATCGTTATTATTTCTGACCTATTTTCTAAGATGAGTTGATAATCATTACAATTTTATCACTGATGTTGGTAGGTTCAGTGATTGGAGAAATACCATAAATTTAATTAGAGGGATTTTAGAAGATATAAAATAGTATAAAAACACCAGTTCTTAATGACTATACAGACCAAGCAACTACAAATATTATAAAAATACAAAAGATGCAAAAACCAAAAGAAGAAACATAGCACAGAACAACAGCACCGTGTCACCACGCATAAGATTTAATGAGGACGAAGGATACGTGAAGGTATAGACAATCTCCTGAAATTAGAGAACGTTTTGGGAAAGGTGTATTTTAAGAAATAGTTGATATTGTTGAAACTTGAATTTGACTTTGTCTTCCTGCTGAGTTAGATTTTTTAAAAAATTAGGATTGTTTTAATGTATTGGTTTTTGATACTTCTGTGTAATTGACATAAAATATTATAGCTAATGGCCTTATTAGACGCACACTTCTCTCTTAGATGCCAAAGTATTTGAAATTCTTCTCTACTGGCTGTGCCATTTTGGAATCCAAGGAGCAGTCCGCAACATTATTGACGGGGAAAGCCAGCCTCAAGTCACCCTCTTCATCCACTCTTGTCTACTGCTCTTTACTTTTCTATTTATTTTGTTTTTATTTTTTTTATTGAATGAAAGTTTCCTTAAATTCTATAATGTTTTACAATTTTCAAAAGTTTCACACAGATGATTTCACATAATCTCATAATAACCTTTTTTCCCCCTAATACCCTTATATTGCCCCTTCCCCCTTCTCTTTCTCCATTGGTAACCACTAGTTTGTTCTCTAATCCATGCGTTTGCTTCTTTATTGTTTTATTCACTAGTTTGTTGTATTTTAGATTCCACATGTAAGTGATATGACACAATATTTATCTTTCTCTGTCTGACTTATTTCATACTTGGCATAATGTCCTTCAAGTCCATCTGTGTTGCTGCAAATAGCAAAATCTTACCATTTTATGGCTAAGTAGTATTCCTGTGTGTGTGTGTGTGTGTATGTGTGTGTGTGTATACACACATACATCTTCTTTATCCATTCATCTGTTGATGGACACTTGTTTGCTTCCATATCTTGGCAATTGTAAATTTGATGCTGCATTGAACATTGGGGTGCATGTATCTTTTCAAATTAGTGTTTTTTGTTTCTTTCAGATTTACACCCAGGAGTGGAATTGTTGGGTAATACGGTAGTTCTACTTTTAGTTTTTTGAGAAAACTCCCATACTGTTTTCCACAGTGGCTGCACCAATTTACATTCCCACCAACAGTGTACAAGAGCTCCCTTTTCTCCACATTCTCACCAACATTTGTTATTTGTGTTCTTTTTGATGATGGCCACTCTGACCAGTGTGAGGTGATATCTCACTGTCGTTGTGATTTGCATTTCCCTGATGATGCTGAGCATCTTTCCATGTGCCTGTTGTCCATCTGCATTTCCTCTTTAGAAGAATGTCTATTCAGGTCTTCTGCTCATTTTTTAAATTGGGTTGTTTGTTAGAATTTACATATTTTAAATTGTGATAGATACTACCAGTTTGCTTTCCAGACTGAGGGTTTGTAAGTCTCGTTTATAGTGTATGAGAGGACCAGTTTTCCTTGTTTTCTTTTTTTTTAAATAGTTACATAGTTTTCCATTCTTTATTTATAATTGAATATGTACAATGGTTCTTTTATTATTTATTTGAAGATTAAACGATTGATAGACATGTGGACTGTTCCTAATTTTTGCTATTATAATCAATGCTGTCATGAACACTTATCCACATACTCCTCTGTATATGTAGGCTAGCACATCTTGTAGAAATTGCTTGAGCCAAAAAATGTCATCTGCAACGCTACTTCTATTATAAATCAGGTTTCCACATATGCAGGATTCTGTCTTTGGATTCTGTATTCTGTTCCCATAGACAATTCACCTGTCCCTATGCAAATATAATGCTGTCTTAATTACAACTTCAGGATAAAATTTAATGTATCATAAATTACCTGCCATATTACCAAAACCATACCACCAAACACTTCAGAATACAAATTAGTAAACACTTGTAATAAAACTGAATTTAAAATGGAAGCAATCAGACTAGAGTCCGATGCCCTTTTTTTCATACAGTGCAAAAACCAAGCAAAATTAAAAAGTATATTATTCTGAGTGACATCAATTGGCAATAAAATATTTCTTTTTTAAGGCAAGGAAATTATGCAGTCAAAACTGAGAATAGTTGTATTTGGAATGTGGAGTCAGGATGAAACAGGTACATTCATTTTGGAGGTGGCTTCATGTGTGTTTGTTTTACCATTACGGTTCATAACTTACGTACATATATTGTATATGTTAGTTTCAATAATTCAAAGTCTTTTGGAAGCTCCACCCCCAGAACAATCAGGGGTTCCTCTAAAAACAAAATTGATTTAATATCTTAGAACTCACAGATGTTAGAGGAGAAACTTCTCCTTCTGAGGGCATATAACCCAAACTCATAATTCAGAACTAGCATTCAACCTGAGACTTGCAAAGCAAGTCATCTGGATTTATGCATCAAAATGAATATTCTATTCTATAATTTTTAAAAAAGCAAGGATATGTACAAGGATAAAGACATTGAGAGATTTTTATTTAAAAAAATACCAAGCACTTCCCTTCTCTTGCTCGTGTTAAAAGTCACCCTGGAACTAGTGACCAGAAGATGGTGGACATACTGGTTTGGGGTTTAGGGAGCTGCAAGGCTCACGTCACATCTTTCCCTGTGCCTCTCTCTGAACTGTCTGAAGGCAAGACTCCATTAAATAAGCAGGAGTTGAACACTTTAAGGAGCAACAAGGTGACTGATACTCAGTGAGGGAGAAGATAAACTGGGCCATCACAGATCTAAGCTTCCAGTCGGGCGGGTCCTTGCTGGGCAGGTACAGGAGGTCACACCTGTGAGGGGAACACTTGAGTCCTTTCTCTTATAGCTCAGAGAGAATTCCTCTCCCTGAAACAAGTACATCAAACTGATGTTCTTGGCAAATTCCTGAATTTCAACAGTTTCTGTTTTATTAGGCGTGACCTTATTATCCTTTATTGAGGCAAGAAAAATTTTGGCAAAATAGTTCTTTTTGCCCCCTTGAAGAGTGGGGTTTAGTTCTGTGTTTGGGGCAGTCATCTCAAAGTGACTTCATGCTGACAATATTATGTCCAGAGTAGGGGTGGTGAACATTTTTGGACACGCTTCACAACAGTGTAGCTCAAACTGCTTTGTTTTACCTTCTATTTACTGTTGCTTCAGCTGCTTTTCAGCTCTTTGAGATACCTGAAAAAACCCTGGAAATTCTGAGGCTTCTGAAACACACTTTATCTTCTTCCTCACAGAGTATCAGTCACCTTGTTGCTCCTTAAAGTGTTCAACTCCTGCTTTTCCCCATCTTTGTCATCTCTGCAGTTGGCCAGCACACTGCTGAAAACTACTTGGAAGCATACATGTTACCTGTTAGACGTTAATATTAAGCATAAGGGGTAAAAAGAACATGGGAATTTCCAATAATCCCCTGTATTAGATTTACCTTTCCATTAGCGTTTCACGCCATAGCAACAGAAAAAGAAAAAGAAAACATCTCTAGACCTCAGCTTTAATTTCCTAGTCACCAAAATACAGTATGATGGATGGGGAACTTATACTGGTCTCAAAAGCAAAATTCAAATGCAGTTACAAAAAAAAATATGGCTTGTTTTAATGGGACTGTTAAGAACACTATTTATATCCCAGAAGATCTCATACATTGTTTTTGAATATAAGTATATGTATATAAAATATATAATTATTTATCTATTAATTATATATTTTAATTATACAATAAATAAATATATGTGTTAAGGATAAAATACACAGTACTAATTGTGGTTTCACTAACTACTGGGTTTTCACCAAAAAGATATACCAGAAGGTGTGAAAATGTTAAGTTTACCTTTATCAGTGTTACTTTTTCCAACCTGCCCTTCTGCATAGTTTAAAACTTATGCTTAAAAAGTGATATCCAGCAAATTCACTGATAAAAAATTACTTATAAACATATGTTGTAAGTTTAGTGATATGAGCGATGCATTCTGTCTTCACATTCAATAACAAGCTCTTTCATGGGCGCTGAAGAAAGGTCAAGGATGATGACCCAGAACTGTAATTTCTCAGGCAGATTTTCCAGTTATCATCACCACATTGGGGCAAGAAGGACATGTTTACCTTCTAATAAGAAATAAAATTGCTCTTCAGTTTTTATTACAGTCATTTACATGTTTGAGATTGAGCCAATCCATTAATTAATTGGTCAATCAGCTCATCAATAAAAAAAAGTTAAGACCGCCCATTATTTGTGCAGTATTGCTCTGAGCCCCCAAAATTATGAAGTTTATAAATTTTTGGAAGGGACACACACACAATAATTAAAGAACCATTAGGTGATGACATGTATCGTAAAGACAGTCCAGTGGAAGGTAAGAATGGGGGAGAGATCACTGTGGGGGGTGGTGGCAGAGAAACCTCCACAGCGGTTTCATAGGATTTGAAAAGGACTTGAACAGAGTATCAAAAGTGTTTTCTTAGAGGAGCGAGATGTGGAAAGAAATTCCAGGAAAGCAGATTAGCAGGAACAAAGACGGACTGTTTAGAGACACGGAGAAAGGAGGCTTGAATTTAGTGGAGGAAGTCTGCTCAGGAGTAGTCATGCATTCTTTCATTCACTCGTTGATTCAATATTTATTTAGTACCTACTACGTGCCAGGCACTGTTTCAGGCGCTAGAGTAAAACAGTGGTGAGTAAGACAATTGTCTTC